TCAGCGGGAGTCAAACTGCGACAGTTCAGGACGGTAGCTTGACACGCTAACCACTCGGCTACACTGCCACCAGTACCATTGAGTCACAGGGCATAGGTGAATTTCAAGGAAGGTCAGGCCTCTTTGCTATATCCAAATGTATTTTATACAGCAACCGAAAGCCTCACTAAACTTTTCGTTTATAGGCAGGTTTTTGGGACTACCAGTAGATCATATATATAAGATATAAAATAAAAACAAGTTATGGGATATATGAGATGTATTCACTCTAGCTCGTTTAAGATGATGAGCGATTGGTAGTTAAATTTTCTCACAATGCTATGAGTAGACCTTACGCTTTCATCGGATTTCATACAGCTTTAATTCCCAAAAGGTATTTTCATCCAGAGTGGACCGCAGTTTCCACTTCATTATGTCTCATTACCACCTCCAGCGGCACTCTAACCGTAATGTGTCGAGATTATAGACTACACTGTCAAGGGTCGAGTCTCTCTTGTGGTGCTGAGGAGGCCAAGGCGAGGTCGAAATTGCAGTCCACTTCAGCCGGGATGAGAATACTTTTTTGGAAGCAAGGCTGTGTGAAATTTAGGGGAAACTTAGGATCTATTCATATACTAATGGTAAAATTCAACTACCAGTTACCTCATCACTTTAAACTAAATAGGGTATATATATATATATATAAATATAAATATAAATATAAATATAAATATAAATATAAATATAAATATAAATATAAATATAAATATATATATATATATATAAAGTTTAAAGTGATGAGGTAACTGGTAGTTGAATTTTACCATTAGCATATGAATAGATCCTATATATATATATATATATATATATGATCAACTGGTAGGCTCAAAATCCTTCTTACAAACTAAAAATACTGTGATGTCTGATTTGGATGGAAAGTTTTAGTGTGATTGCATTGGCCCACCCTTACTTTCTTAGCTCATTGTTTTTGGTGCGTTTTTTCCCGGAAGTATTTTTTCTCGCTCCAACGTCGTCTATCACATAACATGTATTCACCCTATTTCTTGTAAAGTGATGAAGGACTACCAGTCCTTCATCACTTTACACGAAATAGGGTGAATACATCTCATTACCCTGATTTACTGGTAGTCTCGAAACCCTACTATAATACGAATATCACATGACAGACAAAAGTTTAGCTCAGGTTTCCTAAGGTCGCCGGACGGTGGGACAAGGACCTCTTCGTACAATTCAGGTCTTCCTTTGGCCGAAATCCTCCTTCGGTTTGCTGCGAGGCCAATTTATGAATTCCTCTCGACCAACATTCCTTTCGAAATAGACCTTCATGCCACAATAGATAGCTAAGGAATTCATTTTCACAAGAGGATTTTTTCAAGAGCCTGCTAACTCAGCTGCAAGGACTGTAAAAAAAAACTAGTTTGGAGTAACCCGAAGAACAATCAGAATCATAAATAGAGCACCGGCAACTCTGCAGGGGCATAGACACGGAAAGATAATAAATAACATAAGACACTGCACTGACCGTCCTCAGTCTCAGCTAAAATGTCACTGAAGGTGTGACCTCCCATAGTCACAATACAAGAAGGTGGGAAATCCTAGAGGACATGAACATCTTAGTTCGAAGGGATCAAATTGACGGAACATTTGAATAAGAGAAGAGTCAGCGGCAATTTCGTTTAGTGATTTTGGAATCCAGCAACCACAACAAGAAAGAGATGCTTGGATCGAGGAGACCTATCGAAATATGGGAAAAGTTACTGCCAGAAAGAGGATCCTTGAATACAGGAGCAACATTAAGTGGGTTCAGCTGATGGAAGCTGGGCGAAGTGGGTTGCTGAATGGAGGTACTAACTGGGATGAAGTGTGCCTCTTTAAACCCAGACGCCTGGGACATATTGAAGCAGATGAGCATACAGAAATAGATAGCTTGTAAAAATGGCCGTATGAGGGATAAAGCGACAACGCTACCGGCTAAGACAGCGGAGATGGAAGAGGCCACCAGCTTAAAGCATAAAATTAATTACGGGTACGAATAGCAGCTGGGTTTCGGTGAATCTCTCGAGACAACATTGTTCTTGATAAGTTTAATACGAATAAACGTGCTTGAAAAAGCAATTATTTAATTGATTTGCACCAGGAACCATTTGGACTGTCTTTTGACATTGTGTCACCTTGAGACGTTTGCAAGAATAACTTTTTGGCTCTGAGGTTGTCCTGCATATGATGGACGAAAGCTCAGCCCGATTTCACCCAAAACTAGGGAAGATGTCTCGTTGACTGAGTCAACCTGAACGTCATTGTAGAGCCAATTGGACGTAGAAAAACGGAAAGAAGACTTCGTCTTCAGATGAAATCAACCAAATGAATCTCTTCATTATGCACCTTCATGCCAAATGAAGGTCTCTACAACAGGAAAATAATTCACACGGGTTGCCCCTATTTGTACTATTGATGAGCTGTAGCTTGGCGCTATGGACGACCAGTTTTACCATCGACGATTGTGAATATACCAAGTGAACAGATTATGGAAATCGTCAGGATTAATTTGGCAGAGAACACAGGACTAGGTAAGTTCTTTACTGTCTCGCTAATGTCATTTCAAGTTAGGAAAAGGAACTCAAACTACTCAAAACATGAGTAAAAAGTGAAAGAATAAACGAATTAGGAGGCTGCTTCGGGCGGTAGCAAGGGTCTCCGTTTTTATGTACGAAATTATGGCTCGTCCGATATGGAGCAGGTGACCAAGAAGCTGCTTTATGCATCGTTTAATTCATACCAAATCATGACAACGTGTTCACGTTTCTGTAGATTGATGAAGAACTGACAGTTGCATTTTCCACAATGCCATGCGTAGACCTCACAGTTTCAATGAATTCCACATATCTTTGCTTCCAAAAGGAGGGTATAATCAAGTGGGATTGTAGTTTTCACCTCGTCTAGGTCTCGTCCGCACCCCCAGAGGGACTCGAATCATGAATCATGCCTTGATGGCTTCTGTGACTTTCAAGGAAGGCCAGGTATCTCGCCATATCACATTTTTTGGTGGGATTGTCGGTGAAACAAACTTATATTTGCTGTAGAAGTAGGCGAAATTGATATTTTTGGTATTTCTTTTTTACTGGTAGTCTCGTAACTCTACTCAAAACGAAAGTATGATCGTCAGAATTGGAATAAATGACTGAGAACATGCTTTGAACACCGTTAGTTCACACAAAATTATGGGAAAGTGACCAAGGAACTTCAAGCATTAGTGGATGTCTCTGTGAGAGGAATTCTCTGGTTGTGCGAACAAATTATGGCCCTTCAGAGTTGTAGAAAGTGATCACAAAGCTGCTTTGGGCACGAACTCAAGTCTCCCTTTTTATCAGTGCGCGATATCATGACCTGTTGATTATGTATGAAAAGCCTTAGTCACCAGGACAGGACTCTGTTTTGTCAGGAGAAAGAGACTTGATTCTCCTTACAAGGGTCTGGAAGTCCAGGATGAAGCAAAATGAGCATGCGGTTGATTGTAGTCTATTTTCTCGCAGAACAACCAGAGAGAATAAACTATGCCAACAAGATATTAAAAGTGCCAGGCCAAGGTGACCATGGTTACTGGAGAGAAAGGGGGGGGCAAGCTCGCATTTGGTAGGAGAGGCATAGAAAGACGTGCTAGATGCTCATTTCCTGTGTTTTCTGAGTCGCCATGAGGTGGTTGAATGAATGCAAAAAGGTCGACATTCAGTCAGTTACATTCGCGAGTTGACATATCGAATGTAACATCGCCCCAAATGGCTAAAGGAGTGGGGGGGGGACGGCATACAAAAGCCTATCAGAGTGCGTAAAAGTGGGAAGAATAAAAACTTTATATGACCGGCTGTATCCAACATACATTTGCAATTCTTGAACCTTTGATACCTCGCATGCCTGACCAGAGGCCAAGGATAACCAATAAAGCTAGCCTTGTTTATGTTCAAAGGTTGTAATCACGCGGGATAATCTGGAGTTTTCATCTTGTAAACCGGAGCAAAATCTTGCTGTGACTTATCAGATTGAAACATTAATGGAACTGGGACTAGTCTGGGAGAGAGCTTTGAATGATGCTCCATGCCTCCACAACAGAAAGAGGCAGGGAGAATGGGCGTGAAAATCGTACCGTTCTATCAGATAACTCTGCTACCACTTCTGCTGCTGCCGATGGTGTTATTGCTGTTGCTGTTGTTGTTGCTGTTTGTGCTGGCTTTTCTGATATGCACAACTGTGCGCCTTTATTGCTGCAAACCTGTACTCTGCCTCTGCCGTGGGAGCCCATCAATCAAGCTCCGTGTCTTCGACGGGAGTTGAGGAAACAACATTCCGAGGAAGAGATGAGTCCTGCGAAAGAGTAGCCTCTTTATCAACCCCGTAATGCCTGTCTCTAGACGACGAGGGCAGACGTTGTGTGAAGACAGAGAGATCTGGCTATCTTTGGACCACTCGGATGTGTAATTCTGATACCAGAAAGTGAGGCGAGGCTATTTATTGCTCAAGTCTGGAAAGGTCTACAGACCTTTGTGGAGACAGTACCACAAATTGAGCAATTGATTGGTATTTTATGCTGACAAAAAAGGTGGGCAGACAGAGAGGAAATGATAAGTCTTCTGTACTTAATATCCAATATATAAATAGCTCTTCTTCCGATAGCTGGTACAGCGGTGCGTTTAGCCAGCCGAAAGGAATAACCGTGAGTATGTTCATTAATTGTTGATTATGAAGTTGCGAAATAATACTTGCTCAGAGACTAGGGTCGGGCATTTTCGTAATTGTTGAGTTTACTTCCATTTCGAGTGAAAGTGTTTGGTCGCTTCCACCAGAAAACGACGGCGGATTCCTCTCAACCAACTGTCGATTGGCTATATTGGAAGTTTCAAGTCAAAAAAACGCATAGGTTTATCCCTAAATTCCTATATGTATATATACTAACCAAATCACTCTATACCTCATCAAAGAGGTCAGATACAGAAGATGATACCCTCTCTGCTCTGGTGATGTCCGTCATACAAGAGATGATGGCTTAGCAGGTTTTCACCAAAATCGAGGTAGATTACCTCGAAACCAGCGTCATCACGAATGTTCCAATAAAGCCAATTGGCAGTTGGTAAAGAAGAATCCGACGTCGTCTTCTGGTGGGATCGAGCTTCCAATCTCTTAATCAGACTCTTTCACTCGAGATGGAATTAAGCAAAACAAGAGATTTGGTTGCACAGTCGTTATCATCAAAGCGAAGTAACATCGTCACAATCAAATTCAAGATATAACGAGGGCTATGGCAGGAAAAGTTTTCTTGACTCGTTAGCTTCAATTTGGTTGTGACGATGATACCTTGCTTTGATGATGTTCGTCATGTGACGGACGAAAGCTTAGCACCTTTTCACCGGAATCGAATGAGATTGCCTCGGAAACAGCGTCAGCATGAATCTTCCAGTGAAGCCAATCGACGGCTGGTCAAGAGA